AAAAGGCGTAAGGAGTTTCCAGGTATGCATATATGCATATATGCATATGTATGTATGTATGTATGTATGTATGTATGTATGTATGTGTATATGTAGGTACATATGTATATGTATGTGTGTACATGTAGAACATACATATATATATATATATATGGATGGCATTCGGGTTCCTGTATCTCAGGGTTTGGGGTTCGGGCAGGGAGGCCAAAGGATCGTGACCTCTCATGGCTCTGTGGATGAGTTGGAAACCACAGCTCAGTTTTATCGCTGGATTTAAAGTCTTAAAAAATCCTGTTGGAAGAGGGGTTATCGGGATCCTAAGCATAGGGAACCTACGTGTTGGCTGTTTTTGGTTTTTTTGCATATTGGACAGCTGTCACTTGGGGATTGGGGTTGAAGTACGTCATAGAAGTAAGTATGAAGAAGAAGTAGTGGCGGAGGCCGCGTCCTCGCGCTCGGCATGGTAGTGGAGGGGGGGTAGCACGAAAAGTGATAGTGGCCGGCCGCGTCGTATGCACCGCGAGTACGAGCAACATTTGACCTTTGCAATGCGCCTATGTCAGCAGCGGCTCGTCATATCATTTGGGCCAAGAGATCGGAACAACGCCGATGTGGCTGCAGGAGTACGTCGGGAGGCTGTTCACCGTACACTTCCGGATGCCCCAGCAAAAAAACTCAAATCCTGCATCTATTCGATGAGGAGAGCGCTGGTCTTACACGATTCCCTCCTCTCCAGCACTTACAGCAGTGTCCGGACGGGAATCGGAGCTTGACTTACACCCTTAAGTTTAATTTATAGCCTCAAGACCCAAACCTGAAAAAAAAAACAACGAAACGCTAACACTTTCAACCCATGGTGTTCTGGGAGGTCGTCATCACTGCGGCCTGGACGATTGTCGACGCTCGGCTCCCATGTCTCCATACGAAGCCCTCCACGAAGCGCCCCGATGCTTCCGAAAGCGCCACCTTCACTGCAACCGCGGCAGCAACATCAGCACCAGCAGCAGCAACCGCAACTGCAGCCGCAAAGCAACAGCAGCAGCAGCAACAGGAGCAACAACAACAACAACCACAACAACAACAACAGCAACAGCAACAGCAACAGCACAAGCACAAGCAACAGCAACAGCAACAGCAACAGCAACAGCAGCAGCAGCAGCAGCAGCAGCAGCAGCAGCAGCAGCAGCAGCAGCAGCAGCAGCAACAATACCAACACCAACACCACCGCCACCACCACCACCACCACCAACAACAACAACAACAACAACAACAACGACAACAACAACGACAACAACAACAACAACGACAACAAGAACCACAATGACAACGACAAGGACAACGACAACATCAACAACAACAACAACAACAACAACAACAACATCAACAACAACAACAACAACAGCAGCAGCAGCAGCAACAACAACAACAACAACGACAACAACAGCAACAGCAACAGTAACAACTACAACAACAACAACAACACCANNACCAACACCAACACCAGCAGCAGCAGCAGCAGCAACAACAACAACAACAGCAGCAACAGCAACAGCAACAGCAACAGCAACAGCAACAGCAACAGCAACAACAACAACAACAACAACGACGACAAAACACAGCAGCAACAGCAAGAGCAAACAGCAACCGCAACCGCAACCGCAACAGAAGCAGCAAAAGCAACTGCAGCTGCAACCGCAGCAGCAGCAGCAGCACGACAACAACAGTTATATCCATTTCGTAACCACATTCGCAAGAGCGTCTCTTGCAGTGGTTTTTGGATGCTGCAACAGGCAGCACTAAGCGTAGTGAAAGCCGCAGTAGCTGGATCGCAATACGAATGGCTCTAATAGACGAATATTGGCACAACTGACTTGAACTACATCGCTTCAACAGAACACCTTATCACAATTTGCACTGGCATCTTGAGATACTACCCCCGCCTCCCCTATAAGCTCTTGACTCTAGACACTAGGCTTCGAGCCGGCGGCTTAGAAATGCTAGCATTTACTGTTGTTCCGAACTGCGAATGCGAACTCCAGCATTGTCTAGCCGCCCCAAACCTTTAACCCGAGACCCTAAACCCAATAACCCTAAACCCAATAACCCTGAACCCTGAAACACTAAACGCTAAAACCCTAAAGCCCTAAACCCTAACCCCATTTACCTCCGAGGAAACATCGCACGCATCCTCCAAGAGCTCCTGCGGCGTGGTGGCGACATTCAGGCGTCCCTCATTTTAGGGGTTTAGGGTTTAGGTAGGGTTTAGGGTTTAGGGTTTAGGGTGTAGGTTTAGGGTTTAGGGTTTAGGGTCGATGTGGACGAGAGTTCTTTGGTGTGGCTTCTATACGGGTTACTCCAAGGATTGCTGCCTGGGCTCATGTAAATGGTACTCTAAGCGTTGTAGTTTACGGGCTAAGAAATTCTAGATTTGGGCCCCATGGGGAGTATCGGCAGGTATCGGGTTCGACAGTATCGTCCTTCGTGGCAAGTACCATCCCTAAGTGTCCAAAAGACCTGACTTAAGAATCGCTTGGGTTTATGATACTAGTTTCGTAGGTTAGTTTTGGGGAGCGTATATGTTCATTAACCTAAGGGTCCATGTACCCATATAGCATATACTTAGACCCCAAAGTACCCAAATAGGAACTACATTAAGGCCAATGTATATACTATATGAGTACATGGACCCTTAGGGATATACTTAGACCCCAAAGTACCCAA